AGGCAGTGGTGAAGAAAAGCAGCAACTTAAGGGCTTTTGACAAGAAGTGTTTAATAATACTCTTGGGCAATATAAGGAGGGTAATAGATGAAGTCGGCATCGATAGAGAATGTGAGAGGGAAGTACTGCTCATGATATTAACAAGATGGAGCGCAGAACTGGAGGAGGTTCTCGACGTGATAACCAAGATGAAGGTCGCTCGGACCACCTGTACCGGAGTGGAGGACGTAATGGTCGAGGGATATTGCAGAATTTACGAAAGGATGGTGATGGTCGGTATGGAAGAGATTGTAAAAGTAGACAAAAGAAATTAGAAAGAACACAAGGCCCGGGAGACGGAAGAAAGAGAGAGGAAAGAAAGAGAGGAGAAAGAGAAGGAGATGTTCCAGCAGCAGTCGGAGAAAATAGGATTTCCTGAAAATACACCAAAGGAGGAGGAGGAAACGAAGAAAAAGATGGCAAGAAAGGAGGAAGAGAGAAAAAGAAACACAAATACAACAACAAGGAAAGCAACAACAAGAGGAGAGAAGAACAACAACCGAAGGAGTTTTCGCACTTAAGGTGCAAACATCGGAAGGCGGAAAGTTCGAGGAGAACCTGAAAAAGATGAAGAAGATTGGAAACAACGTGGAGGAGAGGGTAATTTCCATGAGGAAGGTGTGGGCATCGGCGGATGTTCTCCTTCGAGTAATAGGAAAAGAAGACGCGCAACACTTGGCGAAGAAAATGAGAGTGGCGAACATAGAAGTCGAAGAAGTTGGAAGAAGGAAACAACATTTGTACATTCAGAGAATAGATTGCACGATGGACGAGGCAGACATCACGGAGGCGATAAGAAAACTCTCCGGTACTACCGGGGATGTTAAGATTATATTTTTAAGGAACGGAGCAGCCGGGGAACGGAACGCGTGTGTGTCCTTGGAGGAGGACGCACATCGTTCCTGTTTAAAAGCCGGAAAAATCAAAATACGATGGACGATCTGCGGGGTCAGACAGTACAAGATGCCTAACACTTGCTTCCGATGTGGGCAGCCGGGGCATTTTGTCAAAGAATGCAACGAGGAGAGTAACTTATGTTACAGGTGTGGGCAGAGCGGCCATTTTTGTCGCTCTTGCCCTAAACAGATATCCGCGGTGCGCAATTCGGGCGTTAGTGTTAGTGCGGTGCAAATAAGTGATAGAAGAAAATATTCGGAAGTCACAATGGCGAGGCAGACTCCTATGGGAGCGCGAAGCAGTGCCTGGAAACGGGTTGGCAGGGAGCCACCCAAAGAGACACACAGTATCGGAACTCAAACCGGAAACGACGAGGCCGCTGGATCCTTCGGCGATATCGTCCGTAGAGAGCCGAAACCTAAGCAGAGAGAAGAGAAGAGGAACGCAAAAAGGAACGGCGATAATAATAAGACATCCCGAGGCAAAGGATATTCCTAAGATTCTTAGAAACATTAAAGAAAAAACCGACGGAAACACTAAAATGGTGTTTAGAGGAATGAGGAACACCAAAGGCGGTGGAATTCTCCTCGAACTTGAGGACGCAGCGGAAGCGTAAACTACCGCCGAAGAAATTCAAAGATACATCAGCAAAGAAGCGACGACAATTAGAGTCTTGAAGAATCGAGAGGGAATAAAAATAAGAGGCTTGGACACGGATGTTGCACCCGAGGAGTTAACAGAAGCAATTCTGGAAGAACCGAATACGGGCGAACAAGACAAGGAGCAGATAGAGATCGTGAGGCTCCTGACGGAACCGTGGGGTGAGAAAATTGCGCTCCTGAAGGTTCCGCAACAGGTAACGACGGCCCTGATGAACAAGGGGGCGCATCAGGGTGGGCTGGACTATTGCTAAAGTCCAAAGAAAGCCGGGTCTGATGACTCGGTGCTGGCGGTGTAGCCGGCTGGAGCACATCAGTCGTGTGTGTACGATGCCTGCCAGGCCCGGAGTTGGAGGAAGAGTCAGTCCTGCATATAGCGATATTTCATCGGCTTCTGCGGGGACTGTTACGCCGGTGGCGGCTTGTTCGGAGGCGACGCCTCTGAGGGGACTTGACGAGGTCGCGAGCAGTGATTCGAGGAATTAATTTAATCGATTGATTCTGAGATGAGCTCGTCGAGAAGAAGGCGCGGGAAGCGACCCTTTTTCCAGGTCGGCTGACCTTAGCGCGAGTTTGGGAGTGGGCGAACTTGGCGTTCACGAACGGAGAGTTTGATCTCTCGATTAACGTTAATTCGCTTGACCATCGACGTTGAAAGTTTGGGGAACCATTGCTTCGGTCGATCAAAAAAACCTGCGGTTTTGGTTGCTGCCTTTTGCGCGACCGAAACTGATAACGCCACGACGACGATGTCATTGCACGTAGCCAGGTTGGTGAAAGCGACACCCTCTTCTGTGAAATTTTATCCATTTCGCGGAAGAGGGTGGTGGGATCGCAGGGTGCTCTGCTGGAAGGTAGACATACCCATTGTACGTGGTCGGGAAGGAGGCAACGGTGGGTTGCCGGGGTCGCTGACACTGGGAGTCATTGCACGCGACCGGGGAGGTTGGAAGGAATTCCTCCCGCGCAGTGGGGTGGTGGGCCCACACGCGGAATTGAATGAGGGTTCAATTTCGCATTACACGTGGGCGGGAGGAGGCTGAGTTGGGTTACGACCCCTAATTCAGCCTGCACTTGTGAGCGCAGGTTTTGGTGGCGAAAGCCAAGTCGCACGGAGGGGCACCGGTCGTGTTCGTCAGAGATCCCGAGGCCCCTCCAGGGGCGTCGGAGGTGGGCTGTTGTGGAGGCTTTAGTCGGTAGGAATTTGACCCTACCGTCTCTCTCCCTCAGGGGAGGCGGTGTCTATGAAGATTTCTACCACGTAAAAAAAAAGGGGGGGGGTTTTTGTAGTGTTTGAGCGAAAACATTTTGAATACGTTACCCAAGATTAATTTGGCGGGTAACTGCACGTACGCGAGTCAAACATTCGGAACGCGACGTGTACGTCACAACAATTAATCTTAAGGGGGTATTTTTGTCTAGACGCTTGAAAAAATCGTTTTTTTGGAAATTTTCTTAAAGTATATACCTTCGGAAATATATCTGCAACAGGATTTGTTAGAATTCGTAAAATTTACGAAGTTACAGCTATTTGAAGAACACAGCTCGCAGGTGTAGCGTGCGGTCGTACCGTAACAGGGAATAAAAGAGGTTTCAGTTTTCCGTTTGGTGTTCCTAATTTAATTGCAAAATGCAGCAGAAAAATTACTGATACTGTTATCGAATCTAGTTATCGTCAAGGATGTAATTATGGAGTAAGAGAAAAGATGAGGCTGTTGATGAGTACAATCGATAGTATGAAGAACATGAGGAACATTGCACTTTAATTTGGACTTTCGCTCCAAAACAAATACATTCGGGAGTAACAACTGTTCAAATTGCCACATATTTAGCCTTGTGTATACGTAATGAAGGATTAGACAATATACCTACTACGCATATTAAATGCATTAGGAATAATTATTGGCCAAAAAGTTGAAGTTTGTGTGAATTTCTGGGACAGAAGTGTTGGTCATCCGAAATAAAAAGAAAGGCTGGGATTGGTCGGAGAGAAGAGAAATCAGCCCAGCAGCAGCTTTTCAAACACGAAGGACCATTGTATGGACCTAGATTGGCAAATTAATCATAAGTATACATATTTCCATGTAACTGATAGATAAAACTTTAAACGCGTTTTTCTGGAAACCTCATTTTTTGAAATGGTGTGCACGATATCTCAAGTTCTATTTCATCAATTGACTTAAAATTTGGACAGAATCTTCAGCAGACATGTCGTTATCGCAAGAACCTTGGTTTTTAAAAAAATATTGATTTTTTTCATAGTTTTTTAATATGTTATAGACTAAAAAAATTCGAAAAAGATCAAAGTGCCGCCATTTTTTTTACTATCGAGACTTTTTTGTTTATTCGAGGTTCCCACGATAGCCATATTTATATTAATCAAGATGCTATTTCATTTTTCTGGGTTAGATTAACGGAACCGCTGGAATTATGCACGCCAGCAAGACACTTTTCGTTTTAACTTTGTTAAGACAAACACAACTCATGTAATTTTTATTAGTTTTGCTTTAAAAACATAATTTGTATATTTTAAATATTAGTAAATACGTGTGCCAAAATTCATATAAAAAAGTGTTATGATTTCTTTGAAAAAAAATCTTAATCTTTATTTGAATAAATGAAATTTCATATGAGAAAAGTGATTGTTCTATTATCCGAAAATTCCATTATTCGAACATTTTTGTCTCCCTATTAGTTCGGATAAGGGAGGCTCTATTGTATTATCCTTAGTTTATACCTGTGTACATGAAAATGGATTAACATTTAACAACAAAAATTAACAAAAATATACTAATTTTTAATATATTGTTTAAACAAATGAATTTTCTTAAAAGTTCCTTAGGTAGCAGAATTTCTTACTTAAAAGCAAGCAATTTCTACGTTTGTATCATTTCTCTAAACTTAATAGTTTCCGAGATATTCCGTTAAATATGTTCTGCATCCTCAACTTTGAGAGCTTCTTTCACTCCTTCAAAATGGATTTCGGCACATAAAAACATACATGTTAAATATTTTTTTGAGAATCATATCATACATAAGTTTCATCAAAATTAACGATGTACACTTAGGAATTCTTCTTTGTAAGACTTTTTTAATGATCAGTGTTTATAATTTTCTGTTATTTTTAAGGTTTATGTGTGCATTTTGTATTTCAAAGTCTTAAATTCTACAAATTTTAAAAAGAAATGTTTGACTTCAATGAACTCAATACTTCTTATAAAATTCACATGAATATTCAAACGAACATCTGCACATTTTCACTAAGAATTAATCAGATAGTGATAAAGGTAGAGAAAATCGACAATTCCAATATTGTCAATTTTCTTTCATTTTTGATATTCAAAAGCAACTGTCATCTATAATAACAGATAAAATTTTGTTTATAGTGTCAGATATTCAGTATACCTGACAGAGTGTTATTAGCGGCGCTGCTCGTGAACAGCTGCTTAGCAACGGAACTTGTACTGCTCTGTGTAGGAATTGGTCCAAAATCGTCACTGCTTGAAAGAAGAGAAAGCCCCTGTGAAAGCTGCTGGCACATCGCGGAAACGCTATCTTGACCCCCAGGCGATATTTCAGGAATTGGACTAACTGTAAAAAGCAAGAGTAAAGCTGTAATACATACTGTGTACCCTTGATCATGAACACTGCTAACATACTAAAACGCGGTGCTTTGAATTGGTGCTTGGAACTACAAAATTCATGCTACATGTTACGTAAACACGTGTTAAATGTATAACAGTGGTCTACAAAATATAAAAAATCGATAGGCCGGGTAATTACAGGCTTGTAGTATTCCATAAACTGAGACAAATAATTGTAATGAAATAAGAATTCCACGTAGAAGTAGATAACAATTTTGTAATATCGCAGTTGTTTATTATTTTTTTATATTAATATGAGGATTGAACATTTCTAGCGAAATCAGAAGGAATTCTTTACATAAGCGGATGATATAATAAAATAATAAAATAATTTCGTGTAATGTTTAATATGTAATCCTAAGTTTCATTCATTTTAATAATTTAGTAATTTTTAACAAAGGTAAATTTTCATTTAGTGAAGAATCAGAATAAGCAGAGAGTTGACTTATATTATCAAACTGCAAGAATTTCTGTACTTAATTCATAAAACAGTACAAATCTGTTAATTTTGGAGTTACCTTATTTTTACATTGTATGTGGAAATAAGCAGTTTACAAACAGAAAATTTAAAGCAAGAGAATGGGAACATTAAGAAAACTACAAGATTATGATTATTGTGAAGAACATTATCCTTCTTTTTCCGTGTCCTCTACTCATTGAACTATACTTAACGAATAACATATTGAATACAATCATTTATTGAAACATAAGGAGGGAAACGAGCACCATCTAAAAACATCAAAACAGAGTCAGGCAATATGGACAAGTAACAGAATAGGGAATAATGACCTTCGTCATATCCTTCGAATTCTGTTGCAAAAATGAAGAAGTATATTATTCAATGTCGGAAGTGGCTTAAATATATTAACATAGTACACAGTACATACAGCACATGGAAGAAAGGATTTGACGGAATATTTGGATAATTGCACTGAAGATTTCAAAATATTGTTGTAGATTCAAAACTCCATTTTACAGACAAAATTAAACACGTACAGTAAAGATTGGGTAAGAGTTCAAAATTCGGGACCGCTGTGGAACAGCTACGGAATAGGTACTACGTTTCTCAAACTCTTTGTATTTTACCGACACCGACGGACGCAGAAAGAGACAGCAGACAAAGAAGAGAGAGGTATTGAAAGTCGAGCCAGTCCTAAAATATCAAACACCTACATACATATCGGTGGGACAACGCTAATACAAAAGATAAACTTTTTTATTTTTTGTGTTTTGCTGATAAAAATTTTACTGACATATCCACGATATTTTTCTGATTAAAACGAGACCAAACACGGTAAAATTCGGTTTACACTTAGTTACGTAATAAGAAATTTCACACATGCATACTTATGTACATACACACATAATTACGCCCTCCCTATAAATAATTAATACATATTTACATACATCCACACTTTATTATGTCTTTACTATATCTATTAAATGTAAGACACCTAAAAACGATTACATATAAGGATTTACAAAACATTATGGAAAATTCTGAGATGATACATAATTAAAAAATATATGAGCAATTGTAAGAAGTTAAATAAATTACAGGATATTACAAAGTTATACAAAATTAAAAAATTACAAAAGGTCGAAAAATTCAAAAGAATTACTAAAATTAATGAAACTAACAAAAAATTACGAAACTACACTTGTACCTATTTATAATTATACAGACTGTTAACAGATTTACTAGTCAGCATAGATTAGAATTTAAATTCTATTTAAAAAATTGAATATCATCTTCATTTCCCAAAAAATAATACAAACACAAAAAGTTCACATACGTTGTTATATTATTTGCAAAAAATAGTATCACTTTTTCTCTTTAATTTTTTTCACATACTCATCAAAAACGCTGACTAGTAAAATTTTTAACATATTAGAAAATTATAATTGTTCGCAAACTGCTTGCGAACTGCTTGTGAAGAGTCCTGAGTAGTGAACTCGTTAGTATAACAACTCCTATGTGTATTCTTATACTTTATACGAGTTTAAACTCGTCACAGGTCAAATTTCGTTTCTTCTTATCCGATAATTGATCAAAGGCAATGCCGCTTACGAACAGTTATCGTGCAGAAGAGTGGCCCATTCGAGAATAACCGGATAGGTTCAGTTCTAGTTCTGGATAACTGTTCCCTTTTGGCACAGTTATGAGAAATGGTGTTACATTCTGTGATGTAAACAGTGAAATGAACGTAGCGGGCAAAGGAAGATTCACAAGCCCAAGTAGCTTCGAATTTTCTTGCTCTTATGCAAGATATAGAGAAGGAGCTCCAAGTTTTACAAGGGATAACTGTTGGACGCACAAAGTGCAAACCCTAGTGGTGGGGATAGACCATGAATAGTTATTGTACAGATCCCAAAGAACTCATAGAATCTTTATTGCACAAAGGGTTTTATTAACTAAAGAATTAATAACTACAATAGGTCAAAAGGCAATAGTACGTATTTCATAATAAAGTATATAGATTTGCTTCAATATATGTATAAATTTTATTCAACTTATAATTATAAGTGATTATATTTTAGTGATCACTATATTTATGTTTTAGACATTTTCCAAGTTTTACTAAATTAATTACAATAATTTTATCCTTTGGTATTAATAACAATATTTAAAAAATGACCAGCTTAATTAGTATTTTTATCGCAATAACGATATTTTGAAAGCCTCAGTTTATCTTAAAGATTTTGTTACTTGTTTCAGACTTTCTCTACAACACGCTGCTGTTCTCCTCCTTGTATCTTTGGTACTTTCCTTCTTAGATTCGCTTCAATTTCAGACATTCTCAGCTTTTATTCGTCAATTATTCGTCTACTTTTTTCGCACATGTTATCCAGAATTATATTTCTCAAAGTTTAAATGTTTAAGAGTCAAATAACTTTCATGATGTGATTTAGCACCGAGTGTAATACAAGAACATTATACACCTACGTGTGTTGCATTTCTATCAGAAATGACAATTAGGATCTTTACCTGGTGGCTTCAAAGGTACGATGTGAGACAAAGCGGATGGCATTCGTGACAAATCCGTTGGCTCGAGACTGAGGCTACGTGTGCGTTCAAGATTACTAGGAAGATCGTTAATCCGTAAACTAAGCTGTCTCTTAAACGGAGATGCTTGATTCAGTTGTGTAAAACCGCGGAAGGAACCTTGTCGTTCGAGCATCGACGGAGTAGCGTGTGGCCTCTCGATCGCGAAAGGATTATACACTTGCTTTATTGGAGGTACATCTGAAAAAGAACAGTTAATTGTTAAAAAAAATTATGTTTCATACAAATTTTTTTACATCCCAAACAGTACACGGCGTCTTAGAGACGTCCATTTTACGTCCAGTTTTCATCTGAACGTTTTACGACCTGATCTGGACATCTTGAAGACGTAAGTAAGTAAACAAGTACTTACGAATTATTCAACGTATAAAAATTACGTCTTTAAGACGTTCACAAGACATCTGTGTACTAAAGATATTTTGTTTCGTAACATTGAATCAGACGTCTTTTAGACATTTTTAGGCTTTAACTCGACGTGTTTAAAACGTTCACAAGATGTCTGTGTGCTATCTGCTATGTAGGTAATATCATGTCTTCTAAAATTACGTTATAAATTAGAATATTTGTTTTGAAGTTGGTAAATCGTATTTATAATTCAAAGAATCTAAAGAGTAATATGAATACAAAGTATTTTACCGAAGAGGTGAAAAATTTGTACTGTTTTGTGTTTCACGCATTCCAAGAAGAAGTGGAGCAACATTTTGCGTAATAGAATTTATTTCTAATTTAATTTCTAAACAAAAGAATATTATGAACATGATTTTTAAGGTAACAATAGAAACCATATGCAATAAATTTTTTGTATGCTATATTGTAGTGTATTATAAATAATTATAAAGAATGATGATTATACGTTTTTTCAAGTAATAGAAATGTTTTAATGGTTGAATAATCTCGTATATCTAATAAGATATTTTTGGAATATTCTGAATTACTCTCGCGGATATACATATTCAAAGGAGCTCTTCACTGTATATTTTAGAATCATGCGCTTAGGACAATCTTGATTCAACACACATATTACTAAACTTATTTACATATATTTTGCACTACATTTAACTGAAATTTTGATAGCCGTTACAAGTAAAAATTGATCATACATTTTTACACTTCATAAGCGATTTTTATATCGACATTTAATAAATAAATTTTTATCAACACATACAATGTACATACTTATTAACCTAACCTAACCGGGGAGTTCATCTATCGAAAGCGCTTTCTGTGCATTACGTTACTAACTTCTAGAGACGATTTAATTCGTCATGCAGGCAGTAAAGGCGATGTGCCTCTATTTAATTCTTATACGTTTATAACAATCATAAAATCAAAGGCAGATGCTGTTGGATAAATAAATAAATAATTTAACTCAGAAACATTATAATGAAAGGTAAGAATTTTTGTTTTCTTATTTATTACATGCATATATGATACGCGACCAGTATAATTTAATAACTGCTCGTTGTAATGAAATAGAAATAATTGTTCAAATAATACTAAGTAAATCTAAAATTGCCTTACAGCGCGTAGGCATGCTTTCGACTAAATTCACCGCATATTCTCAAGGTAGAGACCTTCATATTAACAGTATCTGTCGTGTTAATTGTTTTACATTCTTACACCAGTTTTCCTCGAAGCTTTAGCTTCATATACAGGGTGTTCACGCTATTACTAGCCAGCATTTTTCTCGTAAATAGTAAGTACTAGAAAAAAATGAAAAAAGAAAAAGTTTTGCAGTTTTCTACGACCAATATAATAGCATATATCAGTTTTTTACATTTTCCATATTTTTCAAAAAACGAAGGTGACCTTTAATTTCTTAAATACAACGTTGCATACTTTTTTATGTCACATGAAAGCGTGTTACAAAATAAATTTATTTATGTGCTACACAATAACCGTCGGAGTCACACAAGCTCAAAAATGAGAGAAATAAAACCAATTTGTTTAAAAGTATTTCTTATTAATACGACTTAGCTCGTTAAATGTGACTAATTTTTTGTTGTCATTCACTGTCAGAGTGTTTACTTCTGCTTCTACTATTACAAGACCATTTTAGTATTACTTTATAAACTTCCTGAACGTTTACGATATACCGCCCAGAGATGTAAACGATTTAATAAGCACAATAACACAAGCATGTGCATTAATATCTCGAACAACATTAGTAGAAGCTACCAAAAATATAATTCATAGAGCTAAAATGTGAACTCGTATACAAGGAAGTCATATTGAACATCTGTAGCCTCATCAAGAAAAGATACTTGTAACATTGGTATACAATATTCGAAATATTTCTTTTATTTTTGACCTTGTATGACGCTGACGGTCATTGTATAACATATGGACGAATTCGTCTTGATACATGCTTTCATAAGATATAAAAGATAGGCAGCATTCCATTTAAAAAATTAAGTCACCTTCGTTTTTGAAAAAATATGACAAATATAAAAAATTAATATACGCTATTATGTTGGTCATAAAATTTGTCATAATATTTTCCTTCCTCATTTTCTTTTTAGTACTTACCATTTACGAGAAAAATGCTGGCTAGTAATAGCGTAAACATTGTGTATATTCCCAAACATTTTCGATTGGGTCCGCGTTTAGAATGGCCAATCTAATACATTAATGCCATTTTCTGCTTTCCATTGTGTGCAGAGGTGACTCCTGTGCTTGGGATCATTGTCCCCTTGTAAGATCAAATTTTCATTTCTTCTTCCAACCCGCATTTCTGTTGATGGCAAAAGAAATCTGTTATAAATTTTCACCATTCTGTTTGCATTTAAATTGCACCTTTACTATAATACATAGATGTCTCTATGTATTATAGTAAAGAAGGTCTTTTTCTAGAAGATCTCCGAATAAAGATTCACCTTTGGGCTTTCAAAAAACTTAAAAAACCATACTTTAGAAAAAATAGTAACTAGCAGATATTGCAGCTAATAAAAACTCGATATGTTTGCAAAACTTGTTGTGTATCATTACACGTAGGTATATGCTATACAGTATACTATACCCGAAAAAATTATTCAATATATGTTACAAGTTTCATTTCAACGAATGATGTGTAAATAAAGTATATTGAAATATGTGTAGGTGTTTTCATTCTACAGTAATATCTCTCACATTGTCGCTACTCGAGCTCCCCTCACACTGTCGCCTAGCTGCTTCTACGCCTCAGCATACGCTATTGCTACGCCTATGTTATCTTTCTCGGAGTCAGTGTAGCATGCGAAGTACATACATACATATGTAACGCGATGCGCGACACGGTTCTTTTGATGAGAATTCACGACTTGACAGTTCATGATACAGTAATGTCTCTCCAATGCGCCACTAGTTGAATTCTACAATTGGCCACATAGATGGTCCTACGCCTAGGTCTGCGTCATTGCTACGCCTATGTTATCTCGCTCGCAGTCAGTCCAGCATGTAACGACTATACCACTCGGTTTCTTTTACGAGATTTCACGGCTGGACAGTTCATAATAGAATAACATAACTTTTTTAATTTTGCTTTTTTTTATCTCAGAATTTTTTTTAACATGTTGGTGAGATTTTTCTGATGAAAATGATATCAAACACGATATAATTTGAACAACATTTACTTATTAATACTTATTGAGTGATTACCCTTATAGTGCCGAGCAACGATATGTATATCGTTGTTAGCAACACTTGCGGAATGTGCCAACGACGATATATCGTTGCGTATGCGATGGCGCCTTACTATTCGTATCGCGACAGAACCCTGTCTCAAAATAAATTTATAAAACGTTATAAATGGTTGAATAAATAAATAAATAAATTTAAAAAAAAATTGAAAAAACTACTTTTTTACAAAATTTGAGAGTCCCTCTCTCGTCCAATAAATTTATGGGAGGTATCGACATATTAGATATGATACTTTATACTTATTTGGACGAGAGAAATCTCAAATTTTGGAAAACAGTAGTTTTTTCAATTTTTTCAAGGATGGTAGGTATTGAATGCATACATCTTGTTTCGAATGAATACCGAAGACAAAATTATAACTCGATTAGTAACCATCAATGCTGAATAAATTATTTGTGTGAGTAATAATAAGTAAATATTATACATTTTCAATAGCCGGATAACTATAAATGTTTATTATAATATTTGAATTGTATTTCAGTGATGTTATACTAGCTACACGAATCACTTGTTTTATGAGGTATGGAGGTATGTATGGAGGTTTTATGGAGGTATGTAATCCTCCTGACGCTTACTGCGCATCATAGGATTATCATTTAGTTTTGTGTTTTGATATTAGAAATTTTGTTATAAATAATTGAAAATGCAGTATTTATGCTTTATACTACGTGTTCTACATCAAACTATGATCAAACGATGATTCTTCTTATTTGCAAATGCTGTTTATAAAAGAAAACTGATTTTTCCATTTTTCCTAATGATTTTGAATAAGTATTATTAGTATGATTTTCAACAAATATTGAAATACAATTGGCATTAATTTATTCTCCCTTTATTTCGTAATATGTTCCTTTTTCAATTTTGTAAATATTATTCTTACATTTCTTTTTTTTTTCTCAAACCTTACCAAATTACATCAAATTGGTTCGGTATTCTTCGTTTAGGTACAATTCTTTCGGTCGACACTATAAGGGTTAATTTCAGAATATATCGCTTTGGATGAATTGCTAAAAAAAATACATTAAATATCTGTACACACGATTCTACAATTGACCACCAAACGGTAGGTCGATTCCACAATTGACCACCAAAGTGTAGGCCAACTCTACAATTGATCACCAAACGGTAGGCCGATTCTACAATTGGCCACCAAATAAAATAAATATCGTCAACTAAAAATTTTGAACGTCATAGCTAACTAGACATTATTTTAAATTGAAAAAAAAAATTATTTTTTCTAACTGAAAATTTGTTTAACATATTGATGAGATTTTTCTGATTACAATGAAATCGAACGTGATGTAATTTGGAGCACATTGGCTTTCACATTATCCACGAAATATAGTCCTCCAGTATAGAACTCGTGCCTCCGCACTGTCCCCGAAGCCTAGTCTCCTCATTCAAAGTGTCGTTTCTGATGCTGAAACCTAGTCCCTTCCTTCAAA